CCACACTGAACAGGGACACAGGGTAAGGCAATTGGAGTACCCCTTCAGTGGGTCCATCTAAAAGACTCCCAAATTGCATTAACTCTTGTCTCTAAGGGGAAAAGGAAGTCCTTGAATCATGAATAGGAGATATGAAGGAGAAGTAAAGGCAAGAGTAATTAGCATTACAAGTTCTAGACAGGGAACTAGAAAAGAGAACAGGGCAATTTTCAAATGTTCATATGCGAGTCCATTGGAGTTTCTTGACAAGGGCTCCCAAAAGCATCGCTCTATTGTGTTCTTCCTCATTTTTCTTTTGTCTTCCAAGGCTGGACTAGTTGGCTGGGAAGAGTGGCTGGATATTCAGGTGAGGGTCCAGTGACCCTGCTTGGCCCTCCTTTAATGAATGAGCACAACCGTCAACAAGCCCAATTGTGGCTATGTTTAGTGATCAGGCTCAGCCGAGGTCATGATGATGGTAGTTATTTCATGGAGAAGGGACTGCTGTATAGCATCATCTTATTAAAAGGACCTGGAATTTAAAAGGATTTGGTGCTAGGAGCCACATATGTGGGAGAACATACGTCCTTTGTTTGTCTGAGTCTATGTTACTTCACTTAGTGTAACAGTTTCTAGATCCATCCATTTACCTGCAAATTTCATTATTTCATCTTTCTTTACTGCTGAATAGAACTCCATTGTGTAAATATACCACATTTTTGTTAACCACTCGTCAGTTGAGGGACATTTAGGTTGCTTCCATCATCTTTGCCTGCTCTAAGTCACTGTAGTAACCTCCCCTGTGCTTCCTGCATGCCATGAGGCCAATTTCTCCGTTGCTACTCACCAGTCATAACCTCAGCCTTCAGAATGAGTCAGTTTGTCAAAATAAGGCTAGACAGAAAATTTCTCCTAAGGCTCATAATCATCTGCCAACTTACTACAGGCTTCTGAGGGAAACTTTAGAAAATATTAATTCTAAATCATCTTCTATTTATAATTAGCTATTGGAATCTTTCAGTGCACATTAGACTATTATGTTGAATATATTTGGTGTGCTCTGTCAGCAAATGAAAAATGAACTTTTATAAAAGATAGAGAAAGAATTAAACATGTAACTTACCAAAACTCTACTATGATAATAATTGCACATCACTTAGGCTAGTGCTGTGCTCTTGGGGTTAATTTAGCACAGGCAAGCCTAGAAACTAACCATCATAATTGCTCTTTGTTTATGAATGTTCTTATTTTATGTAGTACACACTTATCCATTAGTGTAACAAGTCATAATACCTGGTCAGTTGTCCCTTTTACGGCCTTTGGTTGGAAATGGAGCATTTGAGTTTA